ATCCTAATGGCTCAAAGGTAGCTCAATCCATTATTCAGCAACAGGAGTACTATTGGATGATGATTCCATCAACACAATAAGGGCAGATAAGACACAGTGGTAGGGTGTGAACCAAGGCAGTATTTGCTCTCCTTTTTTTTGCCAGCATTGCTCTGGTTGTTTCTTCTATCATGTAATCTCCTGGAGTTATAAAGCCATGGAGAAATCCTGAATTAACAACCGATGAGGCCACTCAGGGGCAACTTCATCCAAAACACTTTTTCCTCTGATAGAATTCTATTGAGCGGTTGAAAGAGTAAGAAACGCAACTGTAACAGAAAGGGGAACCTCGCTGAGCACCAGGGCAATTGCCCTTTGGGCAAGCAGCCCCAGTATCTCCTCCCCCTGAAAAATTATCTCCTATCACGTGTATTTAAGATGAAAATGTTGGTAGAGAGAAATCTGCAGTGAGGCAAGAGCAGATGACAACAGCCACATAACTCCCTTTGCTCTTTCAATATGCAACTTCAAAAGCACAACCTATTTAACCAGCACTATGCCTCCCATTATAATGGACACTTCGTGCTTTTATTAGTCCTAGAAAACTCAGTAGTGTAGTTTTCACTGCAATTTTTCAAAAGCGCAGCTCTATTATCTGAATTTTGGAAGCCAGTCCAGCTTCCAAAGGAAAGGTATATGGCCCCTGCTTGGAAAAGGTTCCTTACAATGAAGGCATCAGTGCTGCAAAGGAACATTTTATATTGCTTTATCTTGGGTTAAAATCTCTCCCAATTTATTCTGTATCTGGATAAGGCTGCTCAGTATGACATAGTTTTCACGGTGTGATTTAGTTTAGGGATTAAGGCACAAGGCTAAAAAGAGGGAGATGGTGAGTTCTGGTCCCGCCTTAGGCATTAATGCTTCTGGATGACTTTGTACCAGTCACTCTCTCAGACCAATCCACATAACAGGGTTGTTGTGGGGAAAATAGGAGGCGGAAGGTATATTGGATATGTTCACCACTTTCACCATTGTTTGTAAAGATAATAAAGGAGGGATACAAATAAATAAATAAAAAATAATAATACCAGAAAGTATAAATTCCGGTTTAACTTGATCTAATAATTTTCCTTTTTGCTTTTTAAATAATATTACATTTTGAGAAGCTGTAAGAAGCTCAACACATCAGCAAGCAAGATTCCCTAGGTTAGGCTTAGATCTCCAAATCAAACCTTGTAGGAATGGGATACACAGAAAGCCTGGCCCAAGAGAGACAGCATGCACTCAAGTCACAGAGGATCGCATCATGTCCAGAGAAATATATTGATGGTGTCGGTAAAACCCAGTGAAAACAGACTATTTTGGTCTGTCCGCTTCACAGATGGCTACTTAGAAACCTAAAGAATATTTGTAGTGATGGTGGTATCGTCTTCTTTTATACTCCTTCAGTGCTTGGTTAAATAATTGGAACTATTAAACTCCATAAACCAAAAAGAGAGGGCTTTTTAAAGAAGTTTAAAAAATGATAGAAGCCCACAATTATGAAAGACATACCTGTGTAGCAGCCAATGATTTGGAAGACAAATCTTTATAGCTTCATATTCAATTGAGAATTCACTGCTTTCAAATTCTTAAAATGCCATGAATTGTGAAGAATAGCAAATATATTGCTTTCTACAGCTTCTGAATATGTAGCAAGGGCATAACCATTACAGCATATAGGAGCCTGCACTAATGGCAATTCACTGAAGCATTACCTGAAAAGTAATAGGATTACAACTTATACAGCAATTGAGATAACCTAATTACTGTAAATGCTAGAGCAACTCATTAATGGTTAGAAGTCTACTGCATATGTATACCAGTAGCAAAGATTTTTAAGTTTCTGCACAAAAAAACCCTCCACCACCTTCTAAGAAAGTTGCATACCTGCGCTCTTACAGCAATCACAGACGTAACTAATAAAAAAATAATTCCACCAAGTTAATGGAGTTTCCTCCAATGTAAGTGGTTACAAGATTGAACCCGAGGCTGCATTTACTACTTTCCTTCAAGGTAATTTTAATGAGATTTCATTCATTCATTCACTCTTGATTATGTAAAACTAATTTCATTCATTTGATTTGGTACTCTAATGTAAAGTGCCCAATCTGATCAATCTTGAAATGGAAACTTTCATCGTAAATATGCAGCCTTTTCAGAGACGCGAAATACATGTTAAAAATGTCTGCTTTTCATAATTATACCAGGTTTCCAAAACACCCTTATCTATATTAGTACTTAGCTCTATTTCTAATGTACCCAGTTCATTGATGTTTCTGTTTTTTGTCTTCATGTTTCACATAGACAACTTTCTCACATGTAAAGAGAAATCATGGTTGGAACCTTAGAAGTAAATATAAAGCTACTCATTTTTAATTGTACAGGCTTTAATCTGTAAATTTAACAACATGCATTTAAAATCTTGTTTCCTTTTGAAACAGGCTTTGCTGCTTGAAATCACAGCAAGAAGATTTTGCATTTTAAGAGGAATTCATAAAGTAATCATGAATTGTTTATGATACAATAGATCTTGCATGAATGACCTAAACTGCATTATAAATGTCTGCATTTCTCTATATTTCAAAATCAGTTCTATCAAGAAAAAAGACTTGGAGTTAAAAGAGAATGAAATAGGGTAACACTGTATGATGGAAAGCCTACAACTCTAGCATTTGCCCATGGAAACAGAAATGTGACTTGAACTATTTTATTGCTCAATCTTGCAACTTATTTTTGTGCTTACAAGAAATGTCTGTTTTTCAAACTATTTTATATCACAATATACCGTTCCACACTTTCTATGTAGAACTCAACTCCGCACATTTACAATGTCTTTATACATCATTTACACGGCACCGCTTTGTAATATACGAAGATTATAGGAAGTAACCAGAAAAATGATAAAATTATTTAATCTTCAGCAAAGTAATCCTCAAGTCCCTCCAGTTCCATTTCTTCTGTGGTACTTAAAGAGGGAGCCGTAGGTATATCTGCCCGTGTCCCGCTGCTGGGTTTCACGTGGGAGCTTTCAAGCTGCCTTTCATCTTTTTTTATTTCTTTGGTGCCACCAAGTAGCTGCTGACTTTCTATAAAGTACTGATTGGGATGGCTCAGAGAAAAACCAATTTCTTTGACCTGTATAGGGGGAAAAAAAGGGGGGGAGCATGTTCAGTTATTATATTTTATAATTTTTTAGGGTAACATTAAATTAGCTTGAATGAAAGAATGCAATTTTCTTTATCTTCTTTTCCCTGTGACCTCCCCACGAATATTCTTTTAAAAAAAAAGATAGCTAGAATCTAAACATCTACATATAAACAGGTAGTATAATAATCTAGGTGACATTATTTCTTCTATTATTTTTAAGGGTAATTTTTGCCGACCATCTATTTCTGAAAACCATACGGCATGTGAGTTTTCTTTAGAATGCACCTAACATTACACCATCCATTTCAAAGGATAGTTTGGCTAAATACTATAATTGGATTTAACCATGTCTTTCTACCAGTGGTATGGACATAGTAATAGACCTATTTGGATTTTCCAAAGTAATACTGGGGTGCATATCAGGAAAAAAGGAAGAAAAAGTAAATCTTCTGCGTTCATAAACTATGTTTTTCTGGCCTCCTTGAAATAGTGATTTCTTAAAGAGTCACTATTTAAGAGAGACTATTTATGAGTCAAAGCATATTTTGAGACTTGGTTATCCGTGTTTTATTGCAAATCAGAGCAAAACTAAAGATTAAAATGGCAGACAAACATACAGGCTGCCTTGTAAAGGGAATTTATTTCTTGCTTTTCTGTTTTTACAGATTATTTGGTCAGGTGTACAACAAACAGCAACAAAGCTAAACTACATTCCCTGGTTGTATATTCAGTTCCTTGTGACTCTTGTTAAGAGATTTGTTTGCTGGTTCTTAATTTACAATCCTGTATGATTTTGAAAAAAAAAATGCCTCCTTTCTCCCTAGAAGAAGCAGCTGAAACACAAAGTTCCTATAACTGGTAAAAAGGATTTGAAAGGAGCAAATCCCTTGGCTACTAAACAAATTGAAGATTTTGTCACTTTTTTCCTGGTATTACTCTTGGCAACTTTGTAAATTGTTGTGTATTGACTTTTCCCCCACTTTGGAACAAACCAAATCCTTTGGATTTATAATTTCCAGCAGATTTTGAATCCAGCCTAACAGGCAACCCACCGCATGGGTGCACAATTAAATCCAAGATGCCCTCTCCGCTGCCTTAATTTCCAACTGCCAATCTTTTGCTTCTAGAGAGAAACAAGCAACTAGACACATCATAGCTTAGAGCCTTCCAAATATGAGTTTGTTACTACCAAATCCTTACAGTATTCTTCACCATAAAGAAAACCTTAGATATTTCAAATCAAGGACATTATTTTCAAAAAATAAACGTAGTTATTATATGCTTGTAAACAAGTAATTTTTAAATTAAAGAGAATGGAAAATGAACTAAAAATGATCCCTATAGGATCAGGCCAAGGTGCACCTTAGTTCAGAATTGTGTTTCTCATAGTGGCCAACCACTTCAGTTTTTACCTGCCTTTATTTTTGATCAACTTAAGGCAGCATATACAGTATACCTAGTGCTCCTGCCTCCTTTCCCTTCTCCACTTGCTCCTTCGAGTTGAAAAAAACTTGATGGCACATAATCAATCACTCAAACATGATTTGATATATTTTGATCATGTCTCCTCTCAATCTCTCATTTTTTAAGCAAAAAGTCCCAAAGTCCTAGCCTTTCTTTTATGAAAAAGTGTTCACGTCTTCTGATCATTTAGCTTACCCTTTTTTTTTTTTTTACATTTTTTCCAATTCTTTTTTCAAACTTGGCAAACCGGAATTGCCAAGATGCAGATGTACAAGAGCTTTGTATAATGGCATTACACTTAGTTTCCTTAATCTTTTCTAATAATCCTTAGCATAGAGTCTTTTTTGTGGCAGCTGCTCATTGAACCAATATCTTCAGTGAGAAAGATCTTTATTCCAGTTAGTTAAGCCTGCTCTGACTTCATCAGTGTACATGTCATTGCACACTTACTTAAACTGAACCACACCCACCCAAGAGTCCCTTTTGGAGTTTTTCATGCTCATTTTTGATCGTTTCCATTCTGGATAACGTGATGCCACCTGCACACTTGGCCACCTTGCTTTGTATCCCTAAGTCAAAATCATTTATGGCAGCTTCCCCCAACCTTTTGGACACAGTGGAGAGAGGTTTTTCGGAGGACCCGAAGGGGCGTCGTTTCGTGTGCTGCCTGTATCCTGTGGATCGGGGTTTGCTTGTTTGTGCAGCCCAGTTTCTGGCATGCTGCGGATTGGTGCCTGTCCATGGCCCAGGGATTGGGGACCCCTCATTTATGGGACAGACATATGTATATGAGATTTTTTTTAAAATTGCAATCTAAAAAAATCTACATATATAGTACATATGTCTGAGTGTGGGGGGATGTTGTAAAAAAAATCTAACTGCAATTATTCTTCTTTTTAGTTGAAATGGTAATTTATGCCCCCCCAAAAATGCCTAAAGAGTCACTTAAATGGAAACTAATCTTCTACCACTACTTTGGCCACAAAGTTCTGCTGCACAAGGAAACTAAAACACATTTATTGTCTATACTTGAAAAACAGAGCAACCCCTCTCCCCCAAACCTTCCCATACAGACTGGCACAGCAATAAAAGGATATTAGATTAAAAGCAGCTTCCTCTATTTTGCACACCTTGTGTTTCATCTTCTAAAACTAAACATTTTTACAGATTCTGTTCAATCTGAACTGTACCCTTATTGTAAAACCTGGCATTCTTTTGGTGTTATACTATGGGGCTTTAAAAAAAAAGCTGAACCCAGGATGTTGAACCTGTGTGATTTTACGGCTTTAATCAAAAAGTTGCAGAATGGCAGGTGATAATGAGGCAAGCTGTTATTACAAAAAGGGCGTATGGAATTATTTCTTATTTATACACTTTCCCAAGCATATTATTTGATCAACCAAGAAACTGAGGTTTGATCCCCAAAAAACTGAAAAGTAAATCAGTCTTTCTTCTTAATAAATCATTATTTTTCATGAAGGAAAATCATTAGAAAGGCAACAGTTAGCACAATGTCAAATGCATTATGCTTGTGAAGCTACATTAAAACTGGCAGTTTCCTTATAATCATGGATATGTGTGTTGCCGAATTTAATGGCAACTGCTCTAATTATTACTGTTTACAACCTAATGGCTCTGACAGCTTACTAACATATTTCAACACACATTATATTTACTAAGAATATTGGCTCAGCCAAATCATTTATGATAGCAAAGCATTTAGAGGCATTCAAGCACAAGAATCCATTAGTGTGGGTGTAAATGCAGAAGTTTATCAGTTAAGGCAAACAAGTAATTGAGAGAAGAAAGAAATGGAAACATATCCCTATGTGAGGAAAACAATTATTTGTCTTGACTGGCAATACAGTCATCAGACATTCAGTCTTCACCTTATGCTCTAGCAGTACTCTTATCTTACAAGACTCCATATTTGAGTCTCTCCTTTCTTCGCCTACTAGAATTAATGGGCTCTGAGGAAGAGAGAACACCAATTGCTATAGAGCAGCCTTACTCAAGCTTTTTACTTCAGAAGAAAGCTTAAAATAATTTTCAGATCTGAGTCCATCACTGCATAAAAGTTATCTTTTCTCCAACTAGCTTGGCACTATATGTGAAGGTTAAAAAAATATTTATTTGTAATTATCATTCGTGGAAATACTAACAAGAATGGGGACCAGCAGCCGAGTTGAAATGCATCAAAATACCAACATTTTAAGTGCTAGAATTTTGCAGAATGTAGAAGTTTAAAAAACAACAACACAACAATCTCTTGTGGAACCCTGGGGCTCCATACAACCTCAGTTGGGAAATGAAGCTCAGAGCCAACAATCATGATTAGGTCTCTACTGTAAATACGCCGTTTGAGCTGCAATCCTTCATATGCTGCTCTGGGAGGAAGTCTGACTGAATTCCACAGGAATTACATAGAAGCACATTATTTAAAAAATGCATGCATTTCTGCTTTAATATTATTGTTTTAATGTACTCAGCTATTCTGTGATCTCTGAAGGTCGAAAAGCACATTTAGTCAATAGCTGATGACAAAGAACCCACACTGAACCCCACCCCCCCACTTTCACTACAATACCTACGATGCCATCAGCTTTTTTCACTAATCATATACAGGTAATCCTCAAGGTACGAACCATTTGTCAAATGAATCAGACTCAATTTTACAAATTTTTAAAATCAAATTCATTAATTGAATCAAATGGGTCATTAAATGAGCGAAGATCTGACTTACTGTTTCCTCCAATTTGTTAATTGATTGCTGCCATTGTTAACTGAACTGAGAGGCTTTCCTGCTGGCTGCCCATCAACTGTTTCCGGTGCTGCCTTGGCTTAGGAACTAAATTACTGCAAGCAGGCTTGCAGTTGCTTTTTTTTAAAAAAAACCACTTGTTGCTAGACAGCTCAAGTGTTTTCAGCTGCCCGGGGGGGGGGCAGTTGCTTTTTTTAAAAGTGAGTATATTAAAGTACTGTAATACAAATCAAAAGTTGAAATTTGCCTTCTAACATGTTTATTGAATAGAGTGAAAAGCAACATTTAAATGTATCAAAGCATTGTAAACCACTACCCAGAGAGTGGTTTTCTGTCTTCTGCTGCCATCTTTTACAGCTCCACAGTATGATGGCAACAAGGTTATATTATGCTCATGATGATTTGCTTTTATTCTGATTTAAAAAATGGATAAATTATAGAAGAGGTACAAAGCATAGCAGTGGCTTTCCACTGGCCTAGAAGACAATTTTATCATTGCCTTGGGTTGAGTACAAAGCTGTGTTTGCTGGCTAGATCCTTCATCCAGGGTTCCCTTCCTTGTAAAACATAACAGGTTATATAAAATTCTCAAATGACTAGGAAATTCTGAGAGTTGAAATCCACACCTTCTAAAATTGCTGAAGTTAAGATACTGTAGACTATGATCAGAGATTGGAACTGAGGAACCTGTAGAAACTGCAGAGATTAGACCTGTCTCTGAACTTCAAAAACACTTATGATCCACACATCTTACACCTTTCTCTAGGAGAAGAAAAGCAGAGAAGCTATAATAGTTTATAATTACCAAACATTAATTATTACATGGAATCAAAGATATCTGCTACTTAATCATTAGCTCAGCATAACTAATAACGGATTATTATAGAAGAAGAAGAAGAAGAAGAAGAAGAAGAAGAAGAAGAAGAAGAAGAAGAAGAAGAAGAAGAAGAAGAAGAAGAAGAAGAAGAAGAAGAAGAAGAAGAAGAAGAAGAAGAAGAAGAAGAAGAAGAAGAAGAAGAAGAAGAAGAAGAAGAAGAAGAAG